ACAGAGTAGCCTATTTAACTCTCTCTCTGTAAGGAACCTTTTATGCTAATACGCCAGGCTGAATTCTGGAGAGGAGCAATGAGGGTAACAGTGAAAAAGTCAAGAACGTGTCCCGTCCTTCATTTCAGTTTAAACAGTTCATTAGTTTTAAAAAAACGATTATACAAATTGTTCACTTTCTTTCTGGAAACTGAAAATTTCAGTAATGTATAGAATAAAAAGCAAAAATAATTTGTGTTTCTATTATTCTACATCATTTTGTTTTTTTCCCTTGGTGTTAATTTTAACAAAATGGGAATTATGCAGCATATAATACTTAGCCAGGGTTTTTCACTTATTAAGATATAAGTAGCATCCAGGGACATTTTGAATATTAATGACTAAATTATGTTTTATATTATAAATATAGCATATTTGATTTAGCTAACCGGCTACTATTGGAAATCTTTGTAGTTGTGAATTTCTGCTATTGTAAATAATGGTATCCTGAACTATCTTCACCATAAATCTTGGCCGCAGCTCTGTTACCTCTGTTTCTATTTCAGCATTAAATCTTCAGAATAAGATTCATGGGAAATGAGGTATCACATCCCTACGTTTTCTGTTTCTTATTGGTATATTGCCTTCCAGAAGGAATGTGCAAACTCATACTTCCATGAGCAACACATGAAATTGCCCGTTTCCCTTTATACCCACTAACACTGAGTCTAACCAGTTTTTATTCTTTGCCAATGTGAGAGATGACAAATAACACCTGAGATTCCTACTAAGTTCAGAAATTTTGTTTGTCATCAACTAACTCTCTTTCTAGAACCAAGATCTTATCTTTTAAGCCTCAGTTACTAAATCATGCAGGTGCTTAGTACCCCAAATGTCCCTAAATACCATGTTCCTTTACCCCAAAGATTTTCCTCATCAAAGTGCTCCTGGTCTCAAAGGTGTTTCTTTCCTTTTCTCATTATTGGAAGAGTCTATTCTTTCAAATCTATCTATCTCAGGGGGTTTGGGGAGGAAATAGAATGAATTATCTCTAATTTGTAAATAACTAATAGCACTTCAACCTGAACCTTTAAAAGAGTCTTCCTAATAACAAACCTTGAAGAATCTCTAGGGGTGTTATTTTGGGTCCATTCACAGAATGAAATAGAAAAGAATGCCTGGGTAGAAAGCTGAGGTGTTTAGAGAGGAATATGTCACTTCACATGGCTTGGAATCATCTGGGGTCAGCTCCCCTGAACTAGCCCTGCTTTTCTAGCTTCTTTTCTTTCTTTTCTGAAACCTCTAATGGAGTAGTTCTCAGTCCTGCTGCACAACTGAATCCCTGGGGATCTTTGAACCTTCCAAGGCCTGGGGCCACCCTCAGAAATCTGACTTAATTAACCTGGAGTTGGGCCTATAAATCTATATTTTCAAAAGCTCTCCAGGTGATTCCTGCATCCAGAACTATTCTAAAAATCTTCCTCTAAAGAGCTAAGGGTTTCACACAGGGAGTGAGGACCATGCAGGAAAAGGTCAAATCAAAAGACCAAAATGAAAAGAAAAGAAAACAACCAACCAAGCACACACTTACTAAGTGATAAGTTTAAAGAGAGAGAGAGAAGGGTAGTGATGTGGAAACGGGACAGAAAACATAAGCTAATGCTCTGGTCCTGCTAACTCACAGTGAGCAGACTCCTGCTCTCATGCCAGTCACATCTAAAATGACTAAATGATAGATCTTTAACTAGAGGGGACACTCCTCATGGTCTCCAAATGTACTTTCTTCCCTACTGTATCCCGGATGTCTAGCAGGGTACTTAGCCCTTAAGAATTATTTTGACCCTGTACGTTGAACTAGTTAGTACCTCCCTTTCAGCACAGTTTATAGTTTACTTGCAAATGAGGTTTCATATGTTATGCAGATATATTCAAATAAATATACAAATGAAAGTGAAAAGAAAAAACGTACAGTTGGCTGTGCCCCCTGAATGCCTCCAAAAGAAGTCAAATGTTCATTACCAGGAAACGCTTGACAGGGCCTCTACCTCATTAACCAAGTCCCTGGGTCAGGACCCAAACCCTGGCCATGCCTGAGGACAACTGCCTTTGGGAGAATGTGGGGCCACGAGGCTGAGAAGTCTTTGGGTTCTCCCCTCAACCCTAAGCAGATGTTCAACACTGCAGTGGAGACTGTCTTCAAGGGAGCTGGCTGAAATCACAGGAGCTCCCTTACAGCAGGGCTGCTCTGACCAGATGGGGCTTGGCTGCCCTGGTAAAAGTGCAGCCCGGCACCATGCTCCTCCCTGGGAAGCATCTCCAGCCACTCAAGAGCACAGGGCACAAGCTCTTCACTTGGCACCCCAGAAGTCTGGCAGGCCTCTGCTGTGAGTGTCACAGTGTTCTTCCCAGCTGGCTTCTTAGGGACAGCTTGGCTCTACCAAGACAAGTCAGTTTTATCTCCAAATTGGCTCTTAATCCATCCTTTACTCTCCACTTTTGCTGCTGCTACTTTAGCTGAGACCCTATCATTCTGTCTCCCGGGGCCTCCAGAACCATCAGTTTTGCCTCCAGCCTTGACTTTTCCCAGCTCCTATCATCTGCTCTGTGGCCAGAGGATTCTTTTAATGTACACCTCCAGTCCCTTTGTTCCCATGCCAAAGACCCCTCATGGACTCCAATGTGCTAAAACAGTGATTTTCATCCCTGGGTGCACATTAGAATTACCCAGGGAGGTTTTTAAAAAATGCAGATGCCATGAGCACATTCCTAGAGATTCTGATAGAATTTGTTTGGGTAAAGTGCTCTCTAGAATAATTTGTCAAAGGATATTGTTGAAGCCCTCTGTAGCCTGGCAAGTAAGGGCCTTGGGTGATGGGGTCCTCTCCCTACCTGCCTTCATATTCCTCTCTCCTGCTTCTCTCATTCCAGACCATTTTTTCTTTGTACAGGCTCTCTGTCTTCTAAAACTCTTGCTCACTAACTTGCAAACTCTTGCTCATTTTCCAAAACTTCTCTCAGTTATCACCCGCCTCTTCTGTGAAACATTCTTGGGATCCTCACATGGAGTTAGTTAGGGCTTCTTTGTTCTCTGCCTACAAATTACTGTTTCACCCAAAATTGCAAGTGTTAATATTGTTTGCCTGCCTTTCTGTCTGCCCCACTAGCTTGAACTCAGAAGATGGTATTTTAAGCCTCTTTGCATATATTTCTTGTCAGGATAGAGACCATGGAATGTTAATATCCATACTCCCTAGTGCCAGGATCCATTTTGGAGTTGCTGTTCTGCCCATTGTTTTAGCC